AATTTTTCTAGATTATGTAAGTATTTGTTGACAACAACAAATATATTAACACCTGAGGCTGGACTCCTATTGTAAATTTGGAGGCAGGTTCTCGAGATTTCAATACTTACAATTTTAATCGATAAATTTGATAAGTTTCCATTATATTGTTTCTTCAATAATTGAGGATTTTTTAAATTAATTTTGGAAGGTTAAGTTCCAGTTTGTACCCTCGAGATGTAGCATTTTGGCACTTTGCATCGCCACAAAAAAAATAATATCACGTTCACCCCAACATAAGTTTTAAGGTTAATGAACTTAAAACTTAGAGAATTTTGCTAAAACAATTGGGGTGCAATGTGAATGATTCGTTACTCTTTTTGAGTGAAAAGTGCTATTATTTTTTTCCGAGGGTGCAAAGTGCCGAATTCTATATTTTGAGTGCCAAGTGGAATAATTAAGTCATTTCGGAAAGAGGAAAAATGAAATGAAGTTGTAAAATCTTAACAAAATTTCAATTATTTTGGCTGGCATGTTTAGGGTTTACAGTTAACATATATACCTCACTGCAAATTGTGTTAATTTACTCATTTTGAAAATGTACAATTTCAATTTGTCTTTTTGGGTTATGAATATGATCGCATGTAGTGGTAATAGATGTTTCCTTGTCTTACATTATATTACAAAAAATTAAAGAAATTTTGTACAAAAATTAATCAATTCAGTGAAAAGCATTACTACAACGATATTGATGACCCACAAAAAAATGTATTTCACTCACTGAAAATTTAGCAAGAAAAAAAAAATGAAAAGGAAAAAAAGGTTCTGGGAAATGGATCAATGATATCTATGTTCTTGCAAACTTTTGAAAGCATTTCTTGCATACTTTGTGAATGAGAAGTCTTCTTGACCTACAAATCAAGAAAATCAGTGTATTTTACTATATTTCTACTCCAACTCCAAATTATTTCGTGGAGCGGTTGAACAACCAACTTTGTTTTATATCTTTTAAAAAAATTCAACTTAGTCACCAAATTATATGATTATTATTAAATAAGGAGATATATTCATAACTTATACTTTCACCCCTCAATTGGGGTTTTCTTCATCTTTTCACCATTCCGCAATTTTAAAGGGGTTTTTAGGTATTGTTGCAAAATTATTGGGATGTAATTTTTGGAGTTCGCTTCAAGATTTGAAAACAAAAATTAAGATACAAAAAATAAAAAATAATTAATGGAATCATGAATACAAATATAAATAGAAATTATATGAATCTAAGCAAAGTTAAACTATGAATACCTTAGCTTTTAACAGTTAAAAATTTTAATTTTAAAAAGAAAAATAATGACAATAATAATCTATCTATCCAAGAAAATATGATAGTATTACAAGAAGAAGTTGCAAGAAAAAAACTAATACATATAAGAAGATACTGGTAAATAACATTTTCCAATGATGATCGATGTGAAAAAAAAATAAAGATGAAAGAAGATAAAAATATTAAATGGAAGAAAATGTTCGGAGGTTCACAAGTCTTCGCCTCTTCAATACAAATATAAGTATAAATTATGAATCTAAACATATTTTAATATTAGACAGAGTTTAACTAATGAATAATATCAATATACTCCAAATAACTTCGATATTTTAATTTGTATTATTTTGAACGAATAATATGCCAAAAAAACCCCGATTAAATTGACGCAAGACGTGCAACGCACGTCCACCTTCCTAGTATATGATAAATGTATGTAATTTTTTCACTAAAGTTTTTTTTATTTATGTCCTTTCAAGAATAAATGTATCTACTGCATCTTTGCCTCTGAACGAGAATTACCACCAGATCGTTGTGGTAGTGAGAGATGCGGACGAACGACGTATATATATGGTGGAGGATCATGAAGATTTCGGGCCGTGTTCGCCCTGTTGAAGGAGAGGTGCAAGCGGTTCGTCAAGCGATCATACTAGCTAGATCGTTTCATTGGCCATCGATTATAGTTGAAGGGGATTGCGCGCAAGTTATAGAAGCTCTTTGCTGAAAAAACCACACTCTTACATCCTTTGGAGCTATTGTCGAATATTAAGAATAAGCTTTTACTTTATTTTTTTTAGCTAAGACGGTATTCCAATATTAAGAATAAGCTTTTACTTTATCTTTTTAGCTAAGACGGTATCCCTTGGCTTTAACGCCTAGTGGGAAGTCCGTATTTTTGTAAAAAATGAGTTATGCTTCATCTTTTTCGGTGAGACGATATCCCTTGGCTATATCGCCTAGTGGGAGGCTCGATCTCGTTAAGAATAAGCTTTTACTTTATCTTTTTAGGTAAGACGGTATCCCTTAGCTTGGCTTTAACGCCTAGTGGGAAGTCCATATTTTTGAACTTGGTGGTTGATCAGACCCTCAAGTTTTTTATGTAGGAAGTCTGCATAAGTTTTTTGGGGCGGGTAAGACTCCCCTGAGCCTTAGTTGCTCTATTTTTTAGAGCTTTGGGGAGCGAGAAACCAAGGTTCGAGTTGGCCAGACCCTTTGTGACCCTTATATCTTCCCTTTTAGCTATTTTTTGAGTCTATTGATTTTTGTTAAATCGATTGTAGATGCCTTGAACGAAAACGCGTAGAGAAGACAAATGGTTGATCTAGAAATCACGGTGGCGGTATCCCACCGACTAAAATAATTTATTAAGAATCATGCGGCTGACGGTATGCCTTGAAAATATTATCCGGGGCGGTATGTCACCGACTTATTGCTGAAAATAAATTATATGGGGCCCGCGTGGGGAAATAGTAAATACTAAGTAAAGTATTTCTTCAGAATTGCGATTGTTTAAGGAATTCTCTCAAGTGCCCATTTTGGACAAGTCTTTCGAGCGCTCGCGTAAGCTGAAAACACTCATCAGTAGTGTGACCTCGATCTCTGTGGTATTCACAGTAATCATCCGAATTTTATCGTTCTGGATTCTCCTTCATCCATCTCGGTGGTTGTAGAATTCATTTCTGCTCTGCGATGATCATCATGTCAACAAGCTTATCCTTGAGAGGTGAGAACTTCTCGAAGGTGTGATTTTTTGCGGGACGCCTCTCTTCTTTTTTATTATAGTTGTGGCTTCCCTCATCGCGCTTTCTCTAAAGGGGTACCCTCATCTCAGCATTCTCCTCGATCGGAAGGTACTTCTCAGTGCGATTCAGGAGCTTCTCTAGGGTCATAGGGGGTCGGCATTCGATGTACTTTTGAAAACGAACATGCTTCAAATTGTGTTGCAGTATGTCGGTTAATATTTCGTGATTAAGGAGGGGAACTTCATGTACTGCTTTGACAAATTATTGCAGGTAAATCATGAGCGACTCTCTGTCCCGCTGTATGACCTTGAAGAGATACGACCAGTTTTGGCATATTTCTTGCTTGTAGAGTATTGGTGATGGAAAATCGTCGCTAGTTGGTCCAGATTGTCTATGAACCATTTGAGCAAGCCGTTGTACCAAATTTGTGCCTGATCAACTAGCGTGGTCCGAAAAATCTTGTCGTGAGCTGCGTTACTAAGACCGTAGAGCTCAATCTTCGCGTAAAAATTATTTAAGTGATCTTGGGGATCCCCAGTTTCGTCGAATTGGGGGATATTGGGATCCTGAATCCGAGAGGCAACACTTCTTCCATAATAGTAGGAATAAATGGGTAATTCGGGTGGACAAAGCCCCAAAGTGAGCGGTCGTCGACCTCGAGACTTCTCGCCGAGGACTCCTTGAGTTGCAGTAGCTGGAGCCTGCTCGATGCCTTCTTGTTTCCTGGTGTCGGGAAGCTCTACTTCTGAGTTGGTTTCGAGGGGAGTTTTCGCTGTGGTGCGCATGTTCGCGGTGTCCCCCGCCTCGAGGTATTTGACGATAGTCATACGACCGGGAATAACCGCTTATCGTCCGACGGCTTTGCGTCGCTCTCTACCTTGAAGGGGCTCGGGCTCTTTGCCGTAGTGGACGTTGTGATTGGCGACGAGTTTCTCTTCGAGGCGCGCGATCTGAGGATGTGTTACGTTGAGGCGAGTGTCGGTGAGCGTTTCTTCGAGGCGCGGTCTGAGGATGTACTACGGTGAGGCGAGTGATGGTGAACGTATCTTCGAGGTAGGCACGCGGTCTGGGAATGTGCTACGCTGAGGCGGATGGTGATAAGCGTATCTTCAAGGTACTAGTATCACTAAACTTAAAATTTTATTATTAAATTTATTAATAAAATGAAGTAAGTATTGTACAGGGATAATTACATTTTTGGTCCCCCAAGTTTGCCCGTTTTTCAGTTTTGGTCCCCCATTTACCGCAGTCAACAAAATACACTCTCGTTTTACCACATTTTAACACATTTGGTCCTGCCGTTTGGTTGACCGTCTCACTTAACAGTCAACCGTCATGTGCCACGCACGTGACTTCAAATTAGGGCTCAAGTTGTATTTTTTCCCCCAAAATCAACATTTTCTCTCTCTCTCTCTCTCTCTCTCTCTCTCTCTCTCTCTCTCTCTCTCTCTCTCTCTCTCTCTCTCTCTCAAATTCCCCAAATACTTTGTCGATTAATTTATGGGTCGAAGAAGAAACAACAAGAAAAGAGGAGTTTTTCGAAGGCCATGTCGCGAAGAAGCAAATTCCCTGGTGGATTTGCCCCAAATTACTGTATGATATATTTTTTTTTATTTTACAATGTGGCTGATATATTTTTTATTTTTTTCCAACTTGAACCCTAATGTACTGTTCTTGTTATTTACAATGTGGCTGATATATTTTTTTATTTTTTTCCTTTCTTTTGGCAAAAAACCATTTTCAGAAAGAATTGGGATAAGTACTTGGTGTACTGTTATGTATTATGGGGGGTACTGAAACATGGTCCAGAAACGAGGTACATAGGTGGGAGTGAGGAGTTTTTTGATTTTTGAAAACCTGCTGAGATGAGGATGCTTGATATGTGGATAATGTCACGGGAGTTGGGGTATTCTGATAGGAAAAAAATTAAATTTTTGTACAAATTTGGGGCAAATCTGAATATGGGTAGGTACTTGGAAACTGATACCGATGTTGCTTCTATGAAACCTATTAACTATGAAGTTGAAATATACTTAGAACAGTTGGGATTAGAAGAAACTGTGAATGTGGTACCTACCTTGCAAAGTCAAGTTGCATCATCAGTCATTACTGATGAACAAACTGACAATGTTTTACCTGAATTACCCAATGTTGAACCTGAGTTAAGCAATGAGAGTGACAGTGAGGAAGATGGTGATGAGTTTTATGATAGTGATTATGACTTTGAAGAAGATGACAAGTTGTTTGAAGCCTATGTAGATCCAGATGCTGAGTTTGGTGGGGTTAAATCAAAGGGTAAAGATAAGGTCTCTGAATTTGTCTCAGGTGATATGTATACTAGGATGCTTAATGAAGAAGGTGATGATGACTGTGTTAATAGTGACTCAATGGGCAGTGACTGTGGCTCTGATGATGAACATAGGGTTATATTCCCCAAGTTTAATCCTAAAACTAACAATAAAAACCCTAAGTTAAAGCTTGGGTTGGTTTTTTCTTCAAAAAAAGAAGCAAAATTTGCTATAGAGAGCCACTGCCTTAGGAGGGGGATGATGATCAAGTTTTACAAGAATGACAATACAAGACTGAGGGCCTGTTGTAAGAATGATGGTTGTAAATGGTCAATACATGTTTCTCCAATGCAAAATGACAAGACTTGGCAAATCAAAACTTATGTGTCTGACCATAACAACTGTTATTGGAACTACAACAACAACAACCTCAAGTCCAACTGGATTGGTAAAACTTTCATGAAAAAATTCAAAGAAAATCCTAAATTAGGCACAACTGAGTTCAGAAATGAAGTGTGCACAACTTTGAAAGTAAGTGTCTCCAAATCTCAAGCCTATCGGGCAAAGCAAAAGGCACTAAAGGCTATTCAAGGTTCAGAAGAAGAACAATTTCAAAAAATAAGATCTTACTGTGAAGAACTCAAAAGAACAGACACAAATGCCACTGTTGTTTTAAAATTGACAGAGGACACAGAATGTTTGAGGTTTCAAAGATTGTACATTTGCTTTTCAGCTTGCAAAGAAGGGTTCAAGAATGCTTGTAGACCTGTCATAGGAGTGGATGGGTGTTTTTTGAAAGGGCAGAGGGTGGACAATTATTTGCTGCAGTTGGGTTGGATCCAAACAATAACATATACCCAATTTGTTATGCTATTGTTGAGGGTGAAACTAAGGAAACCTGGATGTGGTCCATTCAGTTGTTAGATGAAGACATTGGCTTTGAGGAACAACACAAGTGGACATTTATGTCTGACAAACAAAAGGGACTTATCCTTGCTTTTGAAACTCTATTCCCAGGTGCAGAAAACAGATTCTGTGTAAGGCACTTACACAGTAATATGAAGAATGATGGGTTTGGGGGTGTGGAAATTAAGAGTGCACTGTGGGCAGCTGCAAAAGCCACTAGAATTGAAGAGTTCAAGATGAGAATGGAAGAACTGAGGGTTATAGATGAAGCTGCATACAATTGGTTAGTGAAGAAGCCTCCTCAGAATTGGACCAGGTCTGATTTCAATCCATTTCCAAAATGTGATATCTTGTTGAACAATATGTGTGAGTGCTTTAATTCTTTCATCCTTGATGCAAGAGAGAAACCAATAATACCAATGCTTGAGTGTATAAGAAATCTGTTGATGGCTAGAATGGTGTTGAATAGGGAAAAAGCTCTAAAATGGGATACAAACATTTATCCCAAGATTAGAACTGTCTTGATAAAGAATATGAAAGAGGCTGGTGAGTGCATCCCAATGAAATCAGATGAGTGGAATTTTCAAATAATGGGGATGTATGATCAGCATACTGTTGACATAAGAGCAAAGAGTTGCAGCTGCAGAAGATGGGATTTGACATGTATCCCTTGCAAACATGTCATTTCTGCCATTTGGTGTAGGCATGAAGACCCTGAGCAATATGTTCATCACTGTTACAGTGTTGACTCATTTAAAAGAGCATATGAAAACTCCATTTCACCAATAAATGGACCTGAATTCTGGCCTCAATGCCCTTTGCAGCCTCCATTACCACCAATGTATACTTTGCAGCCTCCATTACCACCAATGTATAAAGAAAAAGCTGGTAGACCACAAAAACTGAGAAGAAGAGAGCCAGACGAGCCACCTTCTGTTGGGGGAACAAAGTTAAAGGGGGTTCCAAGAATTAATAAGTGCAGAAAGTGTGGGTAAGTAGGGCATAATGCTAGGAAATGTGGAGGAAAAAGAAAGGTTGTGGAAGAAACAAATGAAGTTGATCGAGGTGTGCAAGAATCTAGGCAAGAACCTGTTACACAACAAAGCACTGTTGCAATGAATGTTTCTCAAAGATGAGAAACACAAGTTCCACAAAGGAAGATGCAGGTAACTTTATTCATTTTTTATTCAATGTTATTCATTTTTTTCAATGTTTATTATTATTTTAGTTTATTATTATTATTATTATATCACTGTTGTAGGCAAGAAGGCCAACAAAAAGGCAAGTGAATATGACAGGAACTTCAAATACTACCTCTACAATCAATCTAAGTGTTTACTGAACCTTTTGATTGTTTAATGTACTTAATGGTTTGTTTACTAAAACTTTTTATTTTTGTTGATGTAGATGCAGATCAATGAAGGTTCAAATGTAAGTACTCCTGTCATTTTCAAGGGAGGAGTTAATTTCATCACAATGTCCAACCTCAGATCTGCTTTTGGTATCCAAGGCTCTACAAGTTCTGCAAATCCATTCACTGCACCAAGGCCAGCCAAAAAGCCAACACAGTCAAAGAATGGATCAAAGAAGACCACATAACTTCATATTTTTCCTATGTTTGAATTGTTGTTGCAATGACTTTTGGAGTACTTTATGGACATGTACTTTATTTTGTTTGTTTTGTCATCCATTGGAATGATGTTACTTTAGTTTGGGTTGTTTTGTTTGTTTGCTGTTGTTATGTTCATTTGGAATGTTGTTTAATTGGAATGTTGTTCATTTAGAATGTTGTTAATTTGGAATTCTGGATTTGTTCAGTTGGAATGTTTTTCAATTGGAATTTTTTTGGGATTTGGAATCCTTCATGCTTGTTATTGTAGTTGTTATATATATTGATCTGCATTTGTTGGTCACCATCACACAGTAGCACACATTAACCATCACCGTCTTGTTTGCATTTGCATTCAAAACATCAATAGTCTAACCATTACATTTAAAATATGCATTACAAAAGTCTATATAAGGAGAACATTACATCAATTTGAGCTTCAACATCAGACAACATTACATCAATAGAGCTTCAAAATCATATGCATTGCTATAAACAAAAGCAAAGCAAGAATCACAACCATCAACTTCCTTGCTTTCTTCTTGTATAATTCAAGTTGAATCAACATCTTCCTTTGGTTTTCTTTCTCTTCTTTCATGTCATCTTCCCATTTGTTTAATTTCTTCAACAGTCCGGGAATGATTTGTTTTGACCTTCCACACATTTCTGGATCGACCCACTCAAAATAATTGCAATGTGATACTTTATGTGACAAAAAAAAAAAAAAAAAAAAAAAAAATTGAAATTCATAACTTGAACAAATGGCACCCCTTAATTTCAGATATTTACTCACCATGTAATTCGCACATGCAAGAAATCGTCGCCCAGGGTTTTTATCAGTCCACGAAGTGTTTATTGGAAGCTCAATTTCACATTTACATGTATGAGCTTCGTTTGGAAATGGTCTTGCACTCCAATCCCCAGAATCACTGCCAGTTTGCTGTTTTCGACTTGATGTGGTAGATCGACTACTCATATTTTCAAGTGGGGGAGAGAAAATTTCGTGATTTGGTGTTTGGATTGTTGAAATCCGAATTTCTTCCAAAAATTAGGGTTCTTGCAAAAATCCCCAATTTGAGAGAGGGAGAAAAATGTTGATTTTGGGGGGCAAAATACGACTTGAGCCCTAATTTGAAGTCACGTGCGTGGCACATGACGGTTGACTGTTAAGTGAGACGGTCAACCAAACGGCAGGACCAAATGTATTAAAATGTGGTAAAACGATAGTGTATTTTGTTGACTGCGGTAAATAGGGGACCAAAACTGAAAAACGGGCAAACTTGGGGGACCAAAAATGTAATTATCCCTATTGTACACTTAATACTTCCAAAGGGTAAGTATTAGAGCATCTCCCACCCTTAACACCATTTTTCCACCAAATCCTATTTTTTGTGGTGAAAAAATGGTGTTATCTCCCACCCGTAGCACACCATTCTATAATTTCTCTATTTTTAGTGATAAAATAGTGTATTTAGTCTCCCACCAATTCCATCAAATTTTACACCAAATAATAAAATATTAATATTTCACCATTTTACCATTTATAGAGAATATGATTGATTTGATCTCCCATGGCATTTCACCAAATATATTACAAAATTATAAGTTTAATGTTAATTGTAAATTTAGTCTATTTTATCACCAAAATATTGATTATGAATTTGATCTTAAATTATGAATTTTAAGTGTATAATTTAAAAATTATGATAAGTATCAAAAAATTATTGAAACAAGAATGAAAATCGACTTAGGTTATTATACATATAATAAAACCACAAATAAACAATAATTTCATTAATTATTGCCTAAAACCCTTACAAGATAAATTAATCATAAAAACATTACAACATAAATTAATCATAAAAACATTACTACATTTTTCTTGGCCAAAAAGAATATTTCACAGATAACAGGTGCAAAACCTTGTTTGAAAACAAATTCACTAATTAACACTAATATATTTACTATAAGCATATTTATAAGTTGGTAATCACATGAAATTAGTTAATTTAATAATTTTATATACTAATTATAAAATGGTGTTAATTACACCAAATCCTATATTCACTTCCATATTTGATAGAAAAAATAGGATTTGGTGGGAAAAAAGGTAAAATGGTGGATGGGTGGGAGATGAAAATTTATTCACCAAAAAATTTGGTGAAAATATAGGATTTAAGGATATAGTGATATAGAGTTTGACCAGGGTGGGAGACTAAACTAAATCACTATAATTTTAGGTGTAATGGTGATTTAGAGATTTAGGTTGGGAGACTAAAAATACCTAAATACTCTTACACTTAATACTTCAGAAGGGTAAATATTACAATCCCTATAAATACAGGGTGCAAACTGTATTTAACGACAAAATATTAACCGTACAAGATCACCATATGGATATGGCCACAATGTAACTCAAGTTGGTGGCCAACCGACAGACAACATTGTTTTAATCAAATCACTGTTGAACTTCCCAATTAATGATAAACTCCATAACAATATTTTTCTAAGAATTACTTATATTCATAAATAATACAAATATTATTTTAGCTTTTTAGACTATGGCTAGACCAATGGAGAATGTTTTTTCCTTCAAAAAGCAATGCCTGATTTTTCATTACTTACAATTAAAATCATCATAGAGAGTATTAATTGCCAAACTGCAAGGAGTGACCTTTTATTTGTTGCAGTAGTAGAGATCGAGCGAAGTCAAATGACTCGAAATCGCAGCTTGCAAACAAATTCTAGGTCGAGCTTGTTAGCAACTACTTTATTTGTTGCAGTACGTAGTAGAGATAATGACCTGAAATCGCAGCCGGCAAACAAATTCTAGGTCGAGCTTGTTAGCAACTACTTTATTTGTAGAGATAATGACCTGAAATCGCAACTTGCAAACAAATTCTAGGTCGAGCTTATCTGCAACTACTTCAGCCTAGTTCGATTTTAATGTCTCGTGTAGTTTATAAACTATTTTACCAAATATATATTTGGTTGCGGTTTCTTATTTTATATAAATAAATAAATAAAAAGTAGTACTAATTTGATATTTATTTAATATTTGCTCCAACAAATTGGCGCCTTTGAATGGTCCAAAGGGCCAACGGCATCTTTCTTGAATTAGCATAAAAAAAGGTAATAAATCTCCCACTTGTTGCTTCTTACAGCAATCTTTTAAATTCTCCCAATTTTCTTTATTTAAGGTTGTCAATTTTATGGTATTTTACCAAAAGAAGAAAGAGATCATGAGGTTTTCCCAAATTATTTATTTATATATATATTTTTTAGGGACTATTAGTGAAAACCCCCTCTAGTGTTTTTTTAATAAGAGCGGATCCACTTACATTTTTAATATTAGGAGCGGATCCACTATTTTTATTATACCAAAAATAACCCTCACAAGCCGTGACTCAAATAAGAAAAAATAAAAACGACAAAATCAAAACTGCTACAATCATATCTCACGAAATCCCCAAAATCGCGCAACACCCATCTCTTCCAAAACTCCCACCTTCAAACCCAAAATCTTTATTCCGTATAATTTCTGACGCCATTAGTGAGTGAGAAAGATGCCTACGAGCGACCAGTAAGTTAGCCAAACCAAAAATTCACCTAAAATTGACGTGTTCGAACATACTACATTTACCTCTAACAAAATATCCTAATTTTGGTTTTTGGTGTTTGATTGATTTGTACAAATAGTGAAAAATAGTCGTTTGGATTTGCTTGGGTGTGTATCGTGGATTTGCAGGCAGCCTGTTTGGTTGTATTCTAAAATATTAGAAATAGTCTTTTTCACTACAAACAAAGAAATAGTAGAAATAGTCGTTTTTTTTTACTGTTTGATTTCTGTGTAGGATTACTTGACGTTGGTTGTTTGTCTTTGATTGATGCTCTTGGATATTTTGCCATAAAGAAAATAGTCGATTTCATAAAAGTGAAGTTGGTTTTATTTAACAATTCGATGAAGCTTTCAATTAACGGTGACAGTCATCGAAAAAAATGCTCAAGATATTCTAAATTTACTAGAACTTTACCGCAGTTGTTTTTCGTTTAATTTCAATCGACCGCAGACAACTACAAGAACATTTTTTCTGTTATTTTCATCGAAAATGTGTTCGTCTCAGCCAAATAGTCAGGTTTGAAACCCATTAAGTCATCTTCAGAAAATCGACCCTAACTTTTTTTTTTGGTTTACAAGGGAATGAAGGATGAAAAGATGAACGGTATTCGATTCCTGGAATTTACTAATATTTTATTATTTAGTCGATTTTGATACTTACAATTATAGTTGTACTGTTTGTTTCCGGTTGCGTTTTTCTATAGTTGATTTCAACATTGTGTGATAGTGAACTGGTATTGGAAGGTTATTTTTCATAAATAGTTGGT